GTGAATTATTTCATCCAGAAATTTGCAAGAACTCTTTGGACAGGAAAGAGTGCTTCAATGCTGAATGTCCAGCTTTTTCATGTAAGAGGTACCAGGCGAATAAAACCGACAGACCGCCACTATGAAAACAGCCACTACTCCATCGACCGGGATAATTTTTTAGCAAGAGGGGGAGGAGAAGAATGGCTAAAAATGACCAGACTCTACCACCAACTCGGTCAAATGCTAGAGAGGAAGCAAACACAGTGGCCTCCCTACCAGAGACTCAGATATTAACACCAATTAAAGCATCCAGCACTTCCACTAACACGGTAACATCATTTATATTTGCCAACATCCAGGGTATAAAAACACGCAAATCCAACAAAGTTCACTTTATAGATGGTCTCCTTCATGAGGCAAATGCAGTGTTTGCAGCCCTAACAGAAACCCACACAAAGTACTACCATGATGGTGAAATATGGATCTCAGAGTACAATCTTTTCAGATGTGATAGGAAACACCGGCTACAGGGTGGGGTCAGCCTCTACATCAAAGACACACTCATCTGTACTGAGCTGCTAAACACCTCAAATGATATGGTGGAAGTGCTGATAATCAAAATAGAGATCCTAAATGTAGTTATTGTCCTTGTATATAAGTCACCGGAGGCAAACCCTCAGCAGTTTAAAGACCAACTAATGAAAATAGAACACTGCTTGGAAAACCTCACAAATCCAGCTCCGAACATCATCCTGCTTGGGGACTTCAACCTACGGCACCTGAAATGGAAGCACCTGGCTAATACAGTAATATCAGAAAGAATACCAGGAAGTAGCCTAAATGAACAGGCACATGCAAATGACCTGCTACGGATGTGCGACAGGTTTGCCTTAAACCAGCAAATAGTAGAACCAACTAGGAAGGAGAACACGCTGGACCTCATTTTCACTAATAATGATGAATTGATCAGGAACATAATGATTACAAATACCTGTTACTCAGATCACAACTTAATTGAAATTCTGACAAGCATTGGGAATAGACCTTCAAAACCAATCCAGATTCCCGGTGGAGGAGATTTCAGCAAATTCAACTTCAATAATAAACAGATAAACTGGGAAGAACAGCCAGAAAATGCAAACCTGAACCAGTACCTGGAAAAAATAAGCTCAGTAGCACTAGAAATATGTTCAAACCGCATACCCCTAAGAAAAAAGAGGAAGAGATGCAGATTGGAACGGGAACGTCGTTCCCTATATAGGCGAAGAAAACGAATCGCGGAACAACTTGAGAGTCGCACCCTATCTCAAGAACGGCGAAGAAGGTTAGGTAGAGAAATAGAAACAATTGAACTCAAGCTACAGGAATCATACAAAACCCAGGAGAGGCAAAGAGAGCAAAAGACCATCAGTGAAATAGAAAGAAATGCGAAATACTTTTTCTCCTATGCAAAATCAAGATCAAAAACCACATCTAGTATCGGGCCCCTGCGAAAGGGAGATGGAACTTTCACAGATGACAACAAAGCAATGAGCGAGCTACTGAGGAAGCAGTACGACTCTGTTTTCAGCGAGCCATTTCACGCACTAAAGATTGATAACCCAAATGAATTTTTCATGGATATGATACCAACATCAAATCATATATCAGACGTCACCCTATCCCCACTGAATTTTGAAGAAGCCATAAACAGTATGCCTATGCACTCTGCACCAGGCCCGGATTCTTGGAACTCCATATTCATCAAGAACTATGAAAAACCACTATCGCAGGCTCTCCACATTCTGTGGAGACAAAGCCTAGATACTGGCGTTATTCCTGATATACTAAAAACAGCAGAGATAGCACCACTTCATAAAGGAGGAAATAAGGCAGAGGCAAAAAATTACAGACCGATAGCACTAACATCGCACATCATAAAAAATTTTGAGAGTGTTCTAAGAAGTAAGATCACAAAATACATGGAATCACAGCATCTCCATAACCCCGGACAACATGGTTTCAGAACAGGGCGCTCTTGCCTGTCACAGTTGCTGGACCACTATGATATGGCATTAGATGCTATGGAAGACAAACAAAAACGCTGATGTAATTTACACAGATTTCGCAAAAGCCTTTCATAAATGTGACCATGGCGTTATTACACATAAAATGCGTTCAAAAGGAATTACCGGAAAAATAGGCAGATAGATCTACAATTTCCTGTCTAACAGAACCCAATGTGTAATAGTCAACAAAATAAAATCCAGCCCATCAACCGTGAAGAGCTCTTCTTCTTCTTGTTGATAGTAGGTGCAGTTTGCATGAAGGGTTTGTCCTCCCGATGACTGCACCAGTACTGATGTTGTTGGACGCGTTTATGTTGAAGATGATCGGAGCTACCAAGGTGCTTGTTGCTTTGTGCTGTAGATAGAGGAACGGTGATTAAAACAGAGGTGTGTGTTAAGAGGGAGACTTGCCACACCGTAGGGCGGTGTGTTGTGTTTATGGCGTCAGCTGATCCTTGGTGTTGCGACGAGGTAGTTGTTTTCTGTGTTTAGCTGTTGGTGGCGCCAGGTATAAATGTGGCGCGGGTCAGATGTGACCCAATTTGTTGGTCGACTGGAGATATTTAGCCAGTGCTTTGACTATTTGGTATTTTTCTTGTGACGAGTGGTCACCGCCTCCTAATATATGCTCGATGGTGAAGGGTATTTTAAGTGCGATAAAGACTTGTTTGAAATTTACTCTGGCACTATAATGTCGGAAGCAGTGCAGGAGATAGTGTTCGACTGTTTCAGGCACCTGACAGTGAGTACAGAGTTCGTTGATGTCTGTTCTGTACTTAGAGCTGTGTGCTGCTAGTTTGGTGTCCCCAGGGTACTGTGCTTGCTCCAGTACTTTTTCTCATCCTCATATCGGACATAGACAAGAACACAACCTATAGCACTGTATCATCCTTTGCAGTTGACACTAGGATCTTCATGAGAGTAGGCAACATAGAGGATACGGCAAACCTCCAATCAAATGTAGATCAGGTCTTTCTATGGGCTACAGAAAATAATATGGTGTTTACAAAGATAAGTTCCAGCTCATGCGCTATGGAAAAAATGAAAATATAAAAACGGAAACCACGTACAAAACTCAGGCAAATCATAACATAGAACGAAAAGGCAATGTAAAGGATTTGGGTGTACTCATGTCGGAAGAACTTACCTTTAAAGAACACAATAAAGTAGCCGTCACAACTGCAAGAAAAATGACAGGTTGGATAACGAACTTTTCACACTAGAGATGCTATACCGATGATGATACTTTTCAAAACGCTTGTGCTATCTAGAGTGGAGTACTGCTGCACAATGACAGCCCCTTTCAAAGCTGGAGAAATTGCTGACCTGGAGAGCGTGCAGAGATCCTTTACTGCTAGAATCCACTCAGTAAAACATCTAAACTATTGGGACCGACTAAAGAGCCTAAAACTGTACTCCCTTGAGCGAAGGGGGGAGAGGTACATAATAATTTACACGTGGAAAATATTAGAGGGGCTGGTCCCAAACCTGCACACAGAAATAACATCACATGAGACCAGGAGGCATGGCAGGATGTGCAGAATACCCCCGTTGAAGGGCAGAGGTGCAACAGGTACTCTGAGAGAGAACTATCAACATCAGAGGCCCGAGACTGTTCAACACGCTTCCACTACACATAAGGGGCATAACTGGCCGACCCCTCACAGTGTTCAAGAGAGAACTATCAACATCAGAGGCCCGAGACTGTTCAACATGTTTCCACTACACATAAGGGACATAACTGGCCGACCCCTCACAGTGTTCAAGGGAGAACTATCAACATCAGAGGCCCGAGACTGTTCAACATGCTTCCACTACACATAAGGGACATAACTGGCCGACCCCTCACAGAGTTCAAGAGAGAACTATCAACATCAGAGGCCCGAGACTGTTCAACATGCTTCCACTACACATAAGGGATATAACTGGCCGACCCCTCACAGTGTTCAAGGGAGAACTATCAACATCAGAGGCCCGAGACTGTTCAACATGCTTCCACTACACATAAGGGACATAACTGGCCGACCCCTCACAGTGTTCAAGAGAGAACTATCAACATCAGAGGCCCGAGACTGTTCAACACGCTTCGACTACACATAAGGGACATAACTGGCCGACCCCTCACAGTGTTCAAGAGAGAACTATCAACATCAGAGGCCCGAGACTGTTCAACACGCTTCCACTACACATAAGGGACATAACTGGCCGACCCCTCACAGTGTTCAAGAGAGAACTATCAACATCAGAGGCCCGAGACTGTTCAACACGCTTCCACTACACATAAGGGACATAACTGGCCGACCCCTCACAGTGTTCAAGAGAGAACTGGATAAGCACCTCCAAAGGATACCTGATCAACCAGGCTGTGACTCATACGTCAGGCTGCGAGCAGCCGCGTCCAACAGCCTGGTTGATCAGTCCGGCAACCAGGAGGCCTGGTCGACGACCGGGCCGCGGGGACGCTAAGCCCCGGAAGCACCTCAAGGTAGCAGTAGTACAACATTTACCTGCTAGCAGAAGGAGTGACAACATTTACCTGCTAGCAGAAGGGGTGACAACATTTACCTGCTAGCAGAAGGGGTGACAACATTTACCTGCTAGCAGAAGGGGTGACAACATTTACCTGCTAGCAGAAGGGGTGACAACATTTACCTGCTAGCAGAAGGGGTGACAACATTTACCTGCTAGCAGAAGGGGTGACAACATTTACCTGCTAGCAGAAGGGGTGCCAACATTTACCTGCTAGCAGAAGGGGTGCCAACATTTACCTGCTAGCAGAAGGGGTGCCAACATTTACCTGCTAGCAGAAGGGGTGCCAACATTTACCTGCTAGCAGAAGGGGTGCCAACATTTACCTGCTAGCAGAAGGAGTGACAACATTTACCTGCTAGCAGAAGGAGTGACAACATTTACCTGCTAGCAGAAGGAGTGACAACATTTACCTGCTAGCAGAAGGAGTGACAACTTTACCTGCTAGCAGAAGGAGTACCAGAACACCAGCAGGCAGACGTGGGAACACCATGGCTGCCTGTCCCCTGAAGCCCCGTCAGTGTCCTACTGAGCTCCTCCTGTCAGCAGCGTGGCCAGGAGCTCCGTCAGCAGGAACCTGAGCGGCTGGAGGTTACTGAGGAAGTGAGGCACGTCAACATTCGCGGCCAAGCACGATAGTGGCGTCAGTATCCCTCCAACCAATCAGCGGATGTCTCCGCATGTTGATAAATAAACTGACCAATCAGGGCCCTCCTGTCATGCGCACAGTCATGATCGGTCCACCAATCACGCGCTCTCAATAAGTCACATTGTTTATCCAGCGAGTCAGCGACTTTTATCGTAAACAAGACAATATTTTTGACACGCCCACACCCTAAGTCACGCCCACAGCCTGACCCACGCCCGCAGCCTGAGTCACGCCCACACCCTAAGTCACGCCCACAGCCTGACCCACGCCCACACCCTAAGTCACGCCCACAGCCTGACCCACACCCACAGCCTGACCCACACCCACAGCCTGACCCACGCCCACAGCCTGACCCACGCCCACACCCTAAGTCACGCCCACAGTCTGACTCACGCCCACAGCCTGACCCACGGCCACAGCCTGACCCACAGCCTGACCCACGCCCACAGCCTGACCCACGCCCACAGCCTGACCCACGCCCACAGCCTGACCCACGCCCACACCCTAAGTCACGCCCACAGCCTGTCCCACGCCCACACCCTAAGTCACGTTCACACCCTAAGTCACGCCCACAGCCTGACCCACGACCACACCCTAAGTCACGACCACAGCCTGACCCACGCCCACACCCTAAGGGACGCCCACAGCCTGACCCACGCCTACACCCAAAGTCACGACCACATCCTGACCCACGCCCACACCCTAAGGGACGCCCACAGCCTGACCCACACCCTAAGTCACGCCCACAGCCTGACCCACGCCTACACCCTAAGTCACGCCCACAGCCTGACCCACGCCCACACCCTAAGTCACGCCCACAGCCTGACCCACGCCCACACCCTAACCCACACCCTGACACACGACCACACCCTGACCCACGACCACACCCTGACCCACGACCATACCCTGACCCACACCCACACCCAGACCCACGACCACACCCTGACCCACGACCACAACCTGACCCACACCAACACCCTGACCCACGACCACACCCTGACCCACGACTACAACCTGACCCACACCAACACCCTGACCCACGACCACACCCTGACCCACGACCACACCCTGATCCACGACCACACCCTGATCCACACCCACACCCTGACCCACGACCACACCCTGACCCACACCCACACCCTGACCCACGACCACGCCCTGACCCACACCCACACCCTGACCCACGACAACACCCTGACCCACACCCACACCCTGACCCACGACCACACCCTGACCCACACCCACACCCTGACCCACGACCACACCCTGACCCACGACCACACCCTGACCCACACCCACACCCAGACCCACGACCACACCCACACCCAGACCCACGCCCACACCCTGACCCACGCCCACACCCTGACCCACAACTACACCCTGACCTGACCCACGACCACACCCTGACCCACGACCACATCCTGACCCACAACCACACCCTGACCCACGCCCACACCCTGACCCACAACCACACCCTGACCCACGACCACACCCTGACCCACGCCCACACCCTGACCCACAACCACACCCTGACCCACAACCACACCCTGACCCACGCCCACACCCTGACCCACAACCACAACCACACCCTGACCCACGACCACACCCTGACCCACGCCCACACCCTGACCTGACCCACGACCACACCCTGACCCACGACCACACCCTGACCCACAACCACACCCTGACCCACGCCCACACCCTGACCCACAACCACACCCTGACCCACGACCACACCCTGACCCACGCCCACACCCTGACCCACAACCACACCCTGACCCACGCCCACACCCTGACACACAACCACAACCACACCCTGACCCACGACCACACCCTGACCCACGCCCACACCTTGACCCACAACCACACCCTGACCCACGCCCACACCCTGACCCACGACCACACCCTGACCCACAACCACACCCTGACCCACGACCACACCCTGACCCACGCCCACACCCTGACCCACAACCACACCCTGACCCACGAACACACCCTGACCCACGCCCACACCCTGACCCACAACCACACCCTGACCCACGACCACACCCTGACCCACGACCACACCCTGACCCACGACCACACCCTGACCCACGACCACACCCTGACCCACGACCACACCCTGACCCACGCCCACACCCTGACCCACGCCCACACCCTGACCCACGACAACACCCTGACCCACGACCACACCCTGACCCACGACCACACCCTGACCCACGCCCACACCCTGACCCACGACAACACCCTGACCCACGACCACACCCTGACCCACGACCACACCCTGACCCACGCCCACACCCTGACCCACGACCACACCCTGACCCACGACCACACCCTGACCCACGACAACACCCTGACCCACGACCACACCCTGACCCACGACCACACCCTGACCCACGACCACACCCTGACCCACGACAACACCCTGACCCACGACCACACCCTGACCCACGACCACACCCTGACCCACGACAACACCCTGACCCACGACCACACCCTGACCCACGCCCACACCCTGACCCACGACCACACCCTGACACACGACCACACCCTGACCCACGACAACACCCTGACCCACGACCACACCCTGACCCACGACCACACCCTGACCCACGACAACACCCTGACCCACGACCACACCCTGACCCACGCCCACACCCTGACCCACAACCACACCCTGACCCACGACAACACCCTGACCCACGACCACACCCTGACCCACGACCACACCCTGACCCACGACCACACCCTGACCCACGCCCACACCCTGACCCACGCCCACACCCTGACCCACGCCCACACTCGTCCTTGACAACCTATAAGTAGAGGTAATTTATGAATATGAATTTGTCAGTCATATAAAATATTCAACAATCTTCAATAATATGAAATATTCACAAAATCTTGGAGAATATATTTCACTTTTAGTAGAGTGTGCGCGCGTGTGTGAGTGTACTCACCTAGTTGTGTTTGCGGGGGTTGAGCTCTGGCTCTTTGGTCCCGCCTCTCAACCGTCAATCAACTGGTGTACAGATTCCTGAGCCTTCTGGGCTCTATCATATCTACATTGTAAACTGTGTATGGAGTCAGCCTCCACCACATCACTGCCTAATGCATTCCATTTATTAACTACTCTGACACTGAAAAAGTTCCATCTAACGTCCCTGTGGCTCATTTGGGTACTCAGTTTCCACCTGTGTCCCCTTGTTCGTGTTCCACCAGTGTTGAATAGTTTATCTTTATCTACCCTGTCAAGTCCATTGAGAATATTGTAGGTTGTGATCATGTCTCCCCTTGCTCTTCTGTCTTCCAGTGTCGTAAGATGCATTTCCCGCAGCCTTTCCTCGCAACACATGCCTCTTAGTTCTGGGACTAGTCTAGTGGCATACCTTTGGACTTTTTCTAACTTCGTCTTGTGCTTGATAAGGTACGGGCTCCATGCTGGGGCCGCATACTCCAGGATTGGTCTTACATATGTGGTGTACAAGATTCTGAATGATTCCTTACACAGGTTCCTGAACGCTGTTCTGATGTTAGCCAGCCTCGCATATGCCGCAGACGTTATTCTCTTTATGTGGGCTTCAGGAGACAGGTTTGGTGTGATATCAACTCCTAGATCTTTCTCTCTGTCTGTTTCATTGTGTGTGTCCCCAGCCACCACGTGTCCCCAGCCACCACGTGTCCCCAGCCACTCACGTGTCCCCAGCCACCACGTGTCCCCAGCCACCCACGTGTCCCCAGCCACCACGTGTCCCCAGCCACCCACGTGTCCCCAGCCACCACGTGTCCCCAGCCGCCACGTGTCCACAGCCGCCACGTGTCCCCAGCCGCCAGCCACCACGTGTCCCCAGCCACCCACGTGTCCCCAGCCACCCACCACGTGTCCCCAGCCCCACGTGTCCCCAGCCCCACGTGTCCCCAGCCACCACGTGTCCCCAGCCACCCACGTGTCCCCAGCCACCCACGTGTCCCCAGCCACCCACGTGTCCCCAGCCACCACGTGTCCCCAGCCACCACGTGTCCCCAGCCACCACGTGTCCCCAGCCACCCACGTGTCCCCAGCCACCCACGTGTCCCCAGCCACCCACGTGTCCCCAGCCACCCATGTGTCCCCAGCCACCACGTGTCCCCAGCCCCCAGCCACCCACGTGTCCCCAGCCACCCACGTGTCCCCAGCCACCCATGTGCCAGCCACCACGTGTCCCCAGCCACCCACGTGTCCCCACCCGCCACGTGTCCCCAGCCGCCACGTGTCCCCAGCCACCCACGTGTCCCCAGCCGCCACGTGTCCCCAGCCACCCACGTGTCCCCAGCCGCCACGTGTCCCCAGCCCCACGTGTCCCCAGCCACCCACGTGTCCCCAGCCACCCACGTGTCCCCAGCCACCCACGTGTCCCCAGCCACCCACGTGTCCCCAGCCACCCACGTGTCCCCAGCCACCCACGTGTCCCCCGCCACCCACGTGTCCCCAGCCACCCACGTGTCCCCAGCCACCCACGTGTCCCCAGCCACCCACGTGTCCCCAGCCACCCACGTGTCCCCAGCCACCACGTGTCCCCAGCCACCCACGTGTCCCCAGCCACCCACGTGTCCCCAGCCACCCACGTGTCCCCAGCCACCACGTGTCCCCAGCCACCCACGTGTCCCCAGCCACCCACGTGTCCCCAGCCACCCACGTGTCCCCAGCCACCCACGTGTCCCCAGCCACCCACGTGTCCCCAGCCACCCACGTGTCCCCAGCCACCCACGTGTCCCCAGCCACCCACGTGTCCCCACGTGTCCCCACCACGTGTCCCCAGCCACCCACGTGTCCCCAGCCAGCCCCACGTGTCCCCAGCCACCCACGTGTCCCCAGCCACCCACGTGTCCCCCGCCACCCACGTGTCCCCAGCCACCCACGTGTCCCCAGCCACCCACGTGTCCCCACCCACCACGTGTCCCCAGCCACCCACGTGTCCCCAGTGTCCCCAGCCACCCACGTGTCCCCAGCCACGTGTCCCCAGCCACGTGTCCCCAGCCACCCACGTGTCCCCAGCCACCCGTGTCCCCAGCCACCCACATGTCCCCAGCCACCCATGTGTCCCCAGCCACCCACGTGTCCCCAGCCACCCATGTGTCCCCAGCCACCCATGTGTCCCCAGCCACCCACGTGTCCCCAGCCACCCACGTGTCCCCAGCCACCCACGTGTCCCCAGCCACGTGTCCCCAGCCACCCGTGTCCCCAGCCACCCACGTGTCCCCAGCCACCCACGTGTCCCCAGCCACGTGTCCACGTGTCCCCAGCCACCCACGTGTCCCCAGCCACCCAGGTGTCCCCAGCCACCCACGTGTCCCCAGCCACCACGTGTCCCCAGCCACCACGTGTCCCCAGCCACCCATGTGTCCCCAGCCACCCAGTCCCCAGCCACCCACGTGTCCCCAGCCCCCACGTGTCCCCAGCCACCACGTGTCCCCAGCCCCAGCCACCACGTGTCCCCAGCCACACCACGTGTCCCCAGCCACCCACGTGTCCCCAGTCACCCACGTGTCCCCAGCCACCACGTGTCCCCAGCCAGCCACCACGTGTCCCCAGCCACCCACGTGTCCCCAGCCACCCACGTGTCCCCAGCCACCACGTGTCCCCAGCCACCCACCACGTGTCCACGTGTCCCCAGCCACCAGCTAGCCACCACGTGTCCCCAGCCACCCACGTGTCCCCAGCCACCACGTGTCCCCAGCCACCCACGTGTCCCCAGCCACCACGTGTCCCCAGCCACCACGTGTCCCCAGCCACCCACGTGTCCCCAGCCACCCACGTGTCCCCAGCCACCCACGTGTCCCCAGCCACCACGTGTCCCCAGCCACCCACGTGTCCCCAGCCACCACGTGTCCCCAGCTACCCACGTGTCCCCAGCCACCACGTGTCCCCAGCCACCACGTGTCCCCAGCCACCACGTGTCCCCAGCCACCCACGTGTCCCCAGCCACCACGTGTCCCCAGCCACCCACGTGTCCCCAGCCACCCACGTGTCCCCAGCCACCACGTGTCCCCAGCCACCCACGTGTCCCCAGCCACCACGTGTCCCCAGCCACCACGTGTCCCCAGCCACCCACGTGTCCCCAGCCACCACGTGTCCCCAGCCACCGCGTGTCCCCAGCCACCCACGTGTCCCCAGCCACCACGTGTCCCCAGCCACCACGTGTCCCCAGCCACCCACGTGTCCCCAGCCACCACGTGTCCCCAGCCACCACGTGTCCCCAGCCACCCATGTGTCCCCAACCACCACGTGTCCCGAGCCACCCACGTGTCCCCAGCCACCACGTGTCCCCAGCGACCACGTGTCCCCAGCCACCACGTGTCCCCAGCCACCCACGGGTCCCCAGCCACCCACGTGTCCCCAGCCACCACGTGTCCCCAGCCACCCACGTGTCCCCAGCCACCCATGTGTTCCCAGCCACCCACGTGTCCCCAGCCACCACGTGTCCCCAGCCACCACGTGTCCCCAGCCACCTCGTGTCCCCAGCCACCCACGTGTCCCCAGCCACCACGCGTCCCCAGCCACCCACGTGTCCCCAGCCACCACGTGTCCCCAGCCACCCACGTGTCCCCAGCCACCACGTGTCCCCAGCCACTCACGTGTCCCCAGCCACCACGTGTCCCCAGCCACCCACGTGTCCCCAGCCACCACGTGTCCCCAGCCACCCACGTGTCCCCAGCCACCACGTGTCCCCAGCCGCCCACGTGTTCCCAGCCACCACGTGTCCCCAGCCACCCACGTGTCCCCAGCCACCACGTGTCCCCAGCCCCCCACGTGTCCCCAGCCACCACGTGTCCCCAGCCACCCACGTGTCTCCAGCCACCACGTGTCCCCAGCCACCACGTGTCCCCAGCCACCGCGTGTCCCCAGCCACCCACGTGTCCCCAGCCATCACGTGTACCCAGCCACCCACGTGTCCCCAGCCACCACGTGTCCCCAGCCACCCACGTGTCCCCAGCCGCCACGTGTCCCCAGCCACCACGTGTCCCCAGCCATCCACGTGTCCCCAGCCACCACGTGTCCCCAGCCACCACGTGTCCCCAGCCACCCACGTGTCCCCAGCCACCACGTGTCCCCAGCCACCACGTGTCCCCAGCCACCACGTGTCCCCAGCCACCCACGTGTCCCCAGCCACCACGTGTCCCCAGCCACCCACGTGTCCCCAGCCACCCACGTGTCCCCAGCCAATACGTGTCCCCAGCCACCCACGTGTCCCCAGCCACCACGTGTCCCCAGCCACCCACGTGTCCCCAGCCACCACGTGTCCCCAGCCACCTCGTGTCCCCAGCCACCACGTGTCCCCAGCCACCACGTGTCCCCAGCCACCACGTGTCCCCAGCCATCACGTGTCCCCAGCCACCACGTGTCCCCAGCCACCACGTGTCCCCAGCCACCAACGTGTCCCCAGCCACCCTCGTGTCCCCAGCCTCCACGTGTCCCCAGCCACCACGTGTCCCCAGCCACCACGTGTCCCCAGCCACCACGTGTCACCAGCCACCCACGTGTCCTCAGCCACCACGTGTCCCCAGCCACCACGTGTCCCCAGCCACCACGTGTCCCCAGCCACCACGTGTCCCCAGCCACCACGTGTCTCCAGCCACCAACGTGTCCCCAGCCACCCACGTGTCCCCAGCCACCACGTGTCCCCAGCCACCCACGTGTTCCCAGCCACCACGTGTCCCCAGCCACCAACGTGTCCCCAGCCACCCACGTGTCCCCAGCCACCACGTGTCCCCAGCCACCAACGTGTCCCCAGCCACCCACGTGTCCCCAGCCACCATGTGTCCCCAGCCACCACGTGTCCCCAGCCACCACGTGTCCCCAGCCACCACGTGTCCCCAGCCACCCGCCTGTCCCCAGCCACCACGTGTCCCCAGCCACCACGTGTCCCCAGCCACCACGTGTCCCCAGCCACCCACGTGTCCCCAGCCACCCACGTGTCCCCAGCCACCCACGTGTCCCCAGCCACCACGTGTCCCCAGCCACCAACGTGTCCCCAGCCACCCACGTGTCCCCAGCCACCCACGTGTCCCCAGCCACCCACGTGTCCCCAGCCACCACGCTCTACAGGAGCATGTGTCAAGTCTTACAATATTCCGGGTCTTTCATATTTAATGTGTTCTTGAGTCTTTGGCGTGTTTTATAAATACAAACTTTTAGACTGTTCACACACACACACACACACACACACACACACACACACACACACACACACACACACACACACACACACACACACACACACACACACACACACACACACACAGAAAGAAAAAGACTTGGGCCTGTCTCCTGCAGCACATATCAAGAGGATAACATCAGCGGCATTTGCCAGGCTGGCCAACATACGAACGCCATTCAGAAACTTGTGTAAAGAATCATTCAGAACTTTGTATACCACATTTGTCAGGCCAATGCTAGAGTATGCAGCCCCAGCATGTAGTCCATATCTAGTCAAGGATAAGACTAAACTGGAAAAGGTTCAAAGGTTTGCCACCAGACTAGTACCCGAGCTGAGAGGTATGAGCTACGAGGAGAGACTACGGGAATTAAACATCACTTCGCTGGAAGACAGAAGAGTTAGGGGGACATGATCACCACATTCAAGATTCTGAAGGGAATTGATAGGGTAGATAAAGACAGGCTATTTAACACAAGGGGAACACGCACAAGGTGGAAACTGAGTGCCCAAATGAGCTACAGAGATATTAGAAAGAACTTTTTTAGTGTCAGAGTGGTTGACAAATGGAATGCATTAGGAAGTGATGTGGTGGAGGCTGACTCCATACACAGTTTCAAGTGTAGATATGATAGAGCCCAATAGGCTCAGGAACCTGTACACCTGTTGATTGGCGGTTGAGAGGCGGGACCAAAGAGCCAGAGCTCAACCCCCACAAGCACAATTAGGTAAGTACAAGTGTAGATATGATAGAGCCTAATAGGCTCAGGAATCTGTACACCTGTTGATTGACGGTTGAGAGGCGGGACCAAAGAGCCAGAGCTCAACCCCCGCAAACACAACTAGGTGAGTACAACTAGGTGAGTACACACAGAACTTGAGTGTGTTTGTGTGTGAGTTCACTCAAGCACTCACTCAAGCACTCACTCAAGCACGCATACACCATAGATACTAAAGGAAGGAGCAGAAGCACTGTGCCTGCCACTCACCATCTTGAGATGATTTCGGGGCTTTTTAGTGTCCCCGCGGCCCGGTCCTCGACCAGGCTTCCACCCCCAGGAAGCAGCCCGTGACAGCTGACTAACTCCCAGGTACCTATTTACTGCTAGGTAACAGGGGCATTCAGGGTGAAAGAAACTTTGCCCATTTGTTTCTGCCTCGTGCGGGAATCGAATCCGCGCCACAGAATTACGAGTCCTGCGCGCTATCCAACAGGCTACGAGGCCCCCAATACACCATAGTGTATAACAAATCACTGGTAACAGGGGAACTGCCAGAGGACTGCTAAAGGCTTCACTAATGATACAGAAGCCTTACAACTCTAAAACCTGAACTGTACAAATGGTCAGAAGACTGGCAAATACTTTTTAATATTGACAAATACAACACCCTGCATGTGGGGCTACAACCCACGCCACAATAACTAAAATTATCAACATTTCCTTGCAGAAGATTGATAAAGAAAGGATCTTGGAGTCAGAATTCACCATTCACTAAAAGTTGCACAACGGGTGGGAGCAGCAGTCAGAAAAGCTTACCAAATACTTGGAATATTTAAGCGTATCTTTGACTTTAAGGAAACGATGGTAGGGATTCAACTGTATAAATCTCTAGTGCTGTATCCAATCTCTTGGATTACTGTATCCAAGCATGGCGGCCACATCTTCAAAATGACATAGTTGATCTGGAGAAAGTGCAACACCGGGCAACAAAAGTCACTCCAGAGCTAAGTCGACTGAGGTATCAGGAAGGGTTGAGGGCCACAGGGCTACCAACACCGTAAACCAGGCATGACAGGGCGGATCTCATTGTAACTCTTAAAATACTGAACAATTTCGAGGATGTTGATCGGGACAACTTCTTCAGAAGGTCAACTGTAACACAAACAAGGAGCAACGGGTTCAAGCTCAACAAGCCACAATGTAAGATTGAAAACAGATGTTTTTTCACCCACAGGGCTTTAAACCCATGAAACCGCCTACCCAACGAAGCCGTAAATGCCAAAACTTTGTTATTTTAAAGTCCAACTGAGAAAGATCATGGCAAACGAGGGGAGGGGATCTTCGACAAGCCGCCGGCTTCCAATCCTCGTCGAGGCCGCTAGTGTTAGTGGCCTTCAGGTAAACTCAGATAAACTCTCAACTACCGACCACTACCACGTCAACTGACCAGGAAACTTCACCCAGTACGTCTAAGACAACAGCAATAATCAAAAGCTCCTTGGCAAGGCTCTTCCGATTCAGACAAGCTTCAGCTCATGTCAAGCTTCACCTATACGAAATGGTCTTTAGACAAGTACTATAATATTATATACCCCCTCCCCCACCCCCCTGAACCTCACCACAAGTACCAACAAAGTGAAGATCCAGAGACCCCAAAACAAGGCACTCCTCTGCAAACATGTCCCTGAACGACAGAGTAAGAACAGACGAGCTTCACACCTCTCTCTCAGACTCAGTCACCTCTCAATAAAACAGCGTTACTGTATGAAACACCTATACACTCCGGATCAAGAAAATCCGCCCCTGGAAGTCATTAACACACAAGTAATTATGAAATCTAAGAACCAACACAGAACCAAAAGACTTACCCTCCAACGAGAAGCGATAAGGCACAGGCATTGTCCGGCTCCCAAGACCCCGCATCTTGAGTGACCTCCCAGATTACCCAGAGAAATGAGCCTTCCCACACCCACTCAGTCCATACTTGAGAGGGAATTCAATAAATAAACATAAAAACCTTTTGTTAGCAAGTAGTGGAGAAAGCCTAAAGTTACGAGGAACCGCCTCATAATAGCCATACAGTCACCGGCTAAAAACCCAGGAAATGGTCAAAGACAAGCCAACCATGTTTGTGTTATATGGAGGCTTCAAGTGTTTGGTTGGTCACTAAGTTTTATGGAGGCTTCCACCTGGGTATTGTCAACAAGTTCTTGCTCAGTCTTCCATCTGGGTACTGGCAACAGGTTCTTGCTCAGGCTACCACCAGAGTACTGTCAACAGGTTCTTGCTCAGGACCTAGATTCGCGAAGCTCCATGTATTTCTTCGTAAGCAGGTTTGCTACGAAGGTTCCTAAGAGCCCGCTAAGAACGCGCCAAAGAGCGATTCAGAGAAGTAAACTTCGAAGATTTCTAAGTTGTTCACTTAAGTCTCGCTAGATGTCACTAGCCTTTAGTTTGGCCAATCAGAGAGAAGGTAACATTTTTCATCTTACAGCTGTAGCCAATCACGACGCTGTCATATCGAAGCCTATCCGTGACCACTTGCGACATATTTACGTCGAATTTTCTAATAAAATTAGTATATTTCGAAGTAAAACAATGTTTTTTCAACTTATACAGTCAGCACCGACATTGTAGTATACAAATATGTTACATTTTTTGTTTACCTACGTAATTCTAAGAGATAGTGTATAGCTCCCCTTGTCGCTCCCAAGACTTGAGAAGCGATGGTATCTACGTATTTATTTACCTAAATTTACCCAAGGGCCACTAACTATGTAGTGGCCTCGACGAGGACAAAAAGCCAGGGGCTTGTTAAGTCCCGCCAATTGTCCTAATGATATTTTCTAGCTGGATTTTGGCAGGTACGGCTTCAGCGGGTAGGCGGTTCCATGGGTTTTAACCATCTGGGTAAAAAAAAACATGTTTTCAGTCCTACTTGAGAGGACATACTCTCCAACACTATATCTGTGATTGCCCTGTTATCAGTGACTTCATACCAAATAGTATGAGGCACTTTGAGCTCTGTAATTACATCATACACTCAGGCATATTGGAAGATATTCTTGTGCTGCACCCAGATTTTGCCAGTGGAGGCTAATAGATCAGCCTTAAGTATTTTGTTCTCTCCTGATTCCATGTATGACTGGCCATCCTGTGAGGTGAGGATGTTAGATGAGCTTGTAGCTGGTTTTTGATCTACACTGTGTGATCCTTCATACAGAATAGGGAAGCAGCACATTGCTGTGTATACCTAAGCGTGTTAAAAAAATACATTGTTTGAGAGGACTCTTGTAGAAACTAGTAAGAGTAGTTATAATATAATGTTTCCATGATTCAGTGCTTACCTCTTGTGAGAATTGTGAAGTTATTGTTTAGTCAGAGTTGATTTGTTTTTGTATTGAGGCTGGTATTTTCTCCCCTGATTCCATGTATCACTAACCATCCTGTGAGATGGGAGTATTAGATGAACTTATAGCTAGTTTTTTTATCTACACTGTGTAATCTTCCATACAGAATAGGGTAGCAGCACATTGCTATGTATACCTAAGCTTCTTAATTCAAAAATATCAGTAATAAAGATTTTAAATTATAGTTTGTGTTATTACCAATATTATCCTTATTAAATCATGTTAACCATGGATCATTAAGATCTCATGTTGATATGTAATACAGTAGTCATATTTCTTTTGAATCATTCATTAAATTGTGCATTATGTCTCAATTTTTCACTTCTTTGGATATACTGTACTGTATAGTACAAAAAAATAGGATAAAAATAAACCAGTAATATTTCTTTCAATATATTTTTTATTTAAATAACTGCATCAATATTTTTACAGCTGACAGGATATGTTTCTCACAGGTGCATTATTTGTTAAAAAAAATTAGGTTTATTGCTACACACAATGATGCTACATAGCCTTCCCAGCTTGGTGCCTTCTTTTCATAATTACTTACTGATTGTTACACAGCCAAATTGTGTAACAGGAAGAGGTCTTGGACACAAATTTGTTCCATGCTAAATGTAAAGGAATCAGCTGAGCATTCCTCAAATAAAATAGGCTGCCTCAGCTTATAAGCTAAATAAAATAAGCATTCTTCAAATAAGTAGCTGCCTCACCTCACTACCTTACTGCTACATAGCCTTCCCGGCATGGTGCCTTCTTTTGATAATTACTGGTTCCACACACCCAAATTGTGTAACAGGAAGAGGTCTTGAACCCCTACTTCCCTCTCTCTTCTTTAATAGTCCATATAGTCATAATTATAGCTTTAAGTATTCAATGAGAAGTTTTTACCCTAACCTAACATCATTTGTGCAGGATATTTTTTTTGTGTGTCTCACCCAGATTTAATTTCAAAATAAAACCAAACAAAATAAATTAAAACTGTGTATGTATAGCTAAGTTACACCCTTACTGATTACTAGGTGAACAGACACATTTGGTGATAGTAAATGCTCCCATCAGGCAGGGCTCATAACCTTCTCTCATAATTCATGTTCACCAGTGTTTATTTACTTAATAACTACTGGTATAATATCTTGCTATTATAAAACTAATTCTACTATCATAAAAGACATATTTACTTCAAGTTTCAAGTACAGAATGCATATATAACTAACACGAAGGACTCCTCTTCACGAGATTCGCCAACTAATAATCTTTTGTTATATTAAAATCGATCCCAGTGCTATGTAGTAGAGAAAAATTGAGTTATATCTAGTTTACGTATAGCTACGAGTGCCCAACAGCACACTTCGATAACGGACCAAACTTACGAAGGTTTTCCTTCTTAGTGTAGCTACCTGAATACCGACGTAGCCGCCACGAAGGCGCTAAGAAGAAAAACATTCGTAAGTACCTTCGTGAATCTGGCCCCAGGCTTCCACCAGGGTACTGTCAACAGGTTCTTGTTCAGGCCTCCACCAGGGTACTGTCAACAGGTTCTTGCTCAGGCTTCCACCAGGGTACTGTCAACAGGTTCTTGCTCAGGCTTCCAGCAATTGCTTGGTCAGTAGGTTCTTTTGGAGGCTTTTAATGTTGGTTAATTCAACATTACTCAAAAGTGTTTTGCCCACTGAACAGCTGGCCAAGTAGCCTAGCAAGGAAACCATTCACCAGTTACATTTATCTAACAAATGGAATCAATGTTGATTCAATACTATATCAACATTGTCAGCCTAGTTCAGCCCGGGCGAACAGTTGGCATATAAAAACTACAGTCATATGATGTCACACCAAGTCCACATCACATAAAAACAAAATATATATAGTTTTTCGATTGAAAAGGTTAGGTTTGGTTAGGATAGACTTTGTTAGGTTAGAGTAGGTTAGACTTGTTTAAAAAATTGCAATGACGCAGCGGGCACATTCTTTTCTGAGGTTTTATACCATGGGGGGAGGAAGGGGTGTGGAGGTATCCCATGAATGTAAACTCATGAGGCTAGCTGCTAACTCATAATTCCCCTGGCGACCCCCATGACGTATGATAACACAAGTTGAGGTAAACGCCAGTTGTCTCGCTCGCAACTTGACAGGAAAAACTTCCCTACAGTAACCTTCAGAGAGAGGGACCTACATAAACACGATATATATAAACGCCTGGCAACCGAGGCGAGAGGGGGAAAAAAGAGGGGAGTTGGTGAAAGTATGCTACGAGAGTGTCCCCCTCAGTGACTGCCCTCCTGGTGTATAGTGACGAGGGTACACACCTCCCTCCAGCAGGGTACCCAGGGTATACTCCGCCCTCCAGCAGTGTACCAGCGCCCACCACGCCTTACTGACGCACGTCCCGTGAACCTCCCGCCGCCCGTCCCATCTGGTCAGTGCTTTAGCAATCTTAAATTCAAAATCCTATGTTCTGTCTTTTTCTTAATGATCCCAGTGGGTGCTATAGCCTAGTGGGTACAATATCCCAGTGGGTACAATATCCCAGTGGGTACAATATCCCAGTGGAGTTGACCAGACCACACATTAGAGAGTGAAGGGACGACGACGTTTCGGTCCGTCCTGGACAATTCTCAAGTCGATTGTGATGATGGAAGGAGAAGAAGGCAATAAATAGGCAGAAGAGTGGCGAGAAGAAGAAAATCTTACAGGTAGGGAAGGTAAGGTGTAATATTGAGGAAAGTAAGGACTGCAGAAGGCCCATATGAGGCAGCTGCTATATATAACACCAACAAAGAAGGAGATAGTAAAAGGAATAAGAAGGGAAAATGGTAGGAATAAGCAAGAGAT